ATTTTAAGATTTACAAGTTAAAATTTATTGCAAATATCATATATGACACCAGGGCATGTATAGAAATAAAGTACATAGACATATGTATGTGTCTATGCATGTGAGAGAGAAAGACATTAAGAGATTCATTGTTTTTGGCTGGAGGTTTGTTACAGACTGCTGGGATGACTAAACCAAAGACTCTGTGGTAGCCAGTGTGAAATCCTCAGCAAGGAAGACATTTTAGAGGTTAAAAATATAGAAATGTAGGAAAATGAAGCACCTCTCAGGTTGTCACTGGAGTCTTCCTATTGTGGGCAGAATCAGCACATAATGAGACACGCCTTAAGAAAGGCTGAAAGAACTAAGATTATTTAGTCTGTAGAAGATTTGATATTTTAAAATATCTGAGGGTGGGTATAAAGAGTATGGCGATAGACTTTTTTTGTGGCTGTAGGGGATAGGACTAGGAGCAATAGTCTCAAACTCCAGCAGGAGAAAATTTAAGTTGAAGATTAGGAAGAACTTCCTGACTATGAGGGTGGTTGAATGTTGAAACAGTGGACCTGGAGAAATTGTGCGGTCTTCATTCCTGGAACTTTTTTGGAGGAGGTTAGATAGACACTTGGCTGGGATAGTTTAGCCAGGAATGATCCTGCCTTGAGCAGGGGGGTGGATTAGATGATCTCATGAGGTCCCTTCCAGCCCTGCTTTCCCCATGTTCTTTTTATTTTTGTAAACTGATCATGCTGCACCTTTAAAATTATTATTAATTTTGAGGCACAGCTATTGTTTATCAACTTCTGTGATGCAGCCAGGTTTAAGAAAACTTTTATCTAATCCTTTCATAATTCGTATGTTCACGAAACAACTAAGAGGAGAATAGGAGCAGATAGAAAATGAAGGTTAAACTTGAAAGAAATCCAAATATTAAATGGTAAAACATGTCAGCCCTAAGTTACAGGTATATCTTCATGTTCAACAACTTTTATAAAAAAAAATACTGTTTATCAAAATAATTTTAAAAGTTCACATGTATGCTAACCTTAAAGAAATTGTTTGCATATCATAGGTTAATGAGTAGATGATAAAAAGGTAACCTTACATATTATATTATTTTCACTTTTAGGGACTGTTAATTTCAGAAAGTAGATGTGACCACGTATTTAAATGTAAACGTAATTTGTGAATATAAAAATCTTTGAGCAGCACATCTAACCCACCATTGTTCTTGCAATGTAAGCTTCATCATAGATGTGGTGTTACATATAGCACATCCTCTTGACAGCTTATAGGTCAGTATGGAACCCTTCCATTTTAAATTGTTTTGACAACCATGGTGAACATAGCTGCTGCTCTCCTAGGAGAAACTACAAGTTTTCAGATGCTCAGAATTTTTCTCCCAGAGCAAGAATGGCCACTCTAGGAGGACGAATGACTTGGGAACAACCAGGGGTAAATCACTCCCAGGAGAGTTTCTCCTAAGAAAGTGAATGTCTGTGTGCATTCTCTCCTGAGAAAAGCCACTGAACAATCCTAGGGTGTTTAATTCTGGCCCCTCCCCCTTGGGAAACAATGTGTTGCTTACTGGATTCTGCTACTCCAGCCAAGGGAGAAGAACATGCTCCCTTCACAATCCCCATATTATGCTGCAGGGTGACGCAAGCCAACCCTGAGCAGTCTGGGTAAGCCAGTCAGCGCTACCTGTGCATTTTTGCCATCTGTCTCCAGGTAGACTTAGGGAGCTTGCAGAGCATGCTGAGATGTGTGCTCAGGGTCCCCCTGACTGTACAATGTCTGCATTGTAAGCTGGCTGCCCTGACATCTGTTCAGGTATCTCCAGGTAAATTTTTTTCTGCCAGGAAAACAAATTTGGGAGAATTCTCTCAGATCACTCAAATGTGCATGTGCAGTCTTGGTGTGAACCTGGAAGTGTTTATGTTCTTGCATTTAAGCTTGGGTAGCTATCTTGTTGGCTTTCCCAATCTCACCAATCTATTTTTGATTAGCTGCTCATTTCAGTACTTTTTAATTTGAGTTCTTTAATCATGAAGAAATGTGTTGTTTAAGACTGTTGGCTTGGAGAATCATAGGGATACCTCCTTATATCATTCAGTGCCAAAATTTTAAGTTGCCTCTTGGACCTGAAATGAATGTTAATTTCTTTTAGGATTATAGTGCTGTTCTAGAGACATCATTTTGCCAAAAGAGAGAGAGCTTCAGGAGGAGATTTGGTCATACATTAATGTTTAGAATCCTTGTGGATATCATTTTTTCATTCTCCATGGTGGATGGTAATGGTTACAAATTGCTAGGCAGTGTACAGACCTATGGATCTCCTTTTCTTTCAGTACAGAAGGAAGGTAGTATAAAGGCAGATATCAGCTATGGTTAGGTTGCTGGAAAATAAAAAATGCTGGTTTAGCTGAGAACACTGATTACTTAAAGCTGTGGCTTAAAGTGGGGAAAATGTGCTATGCTTAAATTTAGTTAATAAGTAAAGATAAAAATAGATGGTTAAATTTCAGTTTTTTAGTACCCTTTGCAAAATGTGTCCGGCCAAATTGCATTTCTGGATGGCTCTACCATGAGTAAAAAACCCACTTCACTGTTGATGTTGTACAGCATTTTTATTAAACCAGATTGTTCTCATTTTGGGACAACTGATCAAAAACTTGCTGATAAAGGATTATTAATGTAACATGAAATGTAGTTAAGAAGGTTCTAATTACAATGCTCTTTGTTACGGGGACTCCTTCAAACTAATTAGCTCTGAATGGCATTATTTCCCTTGCCTTTGGCATTGGAATAATTAGCTTGCAACTGAAGAAGTGAGTGTTAATTTATTACTGAATCTGAATGTATTTTTTTAAAGGAAAATGCCGTTTTGGTTAATGAAGGTTTTTTTGGAAAGCCAATTGATAGTTTAAGCTATTTTTATTGACTAGGGCATACTTTTGCTTTAAGTTCAGAAGGCTTGTTATAGACTTTTGTATCCTGTACATCTATGTAAATGTAAATGATTTCATTATATTAGAAAATTATATAATGTATTTTATTTTAAATTCTTAGTTTACAGGTTGTGACTAATGTAGTATTTCATGGTAGAATTATTTGTTGCATGGCTGGCAGCCATGAATTTCAAGATTATGCTGATAAAATAGCCTGAAACCTTATGACATCATGGTCAATTTCTGTTTTGCTGTATGCGGAAATAGGGGTATGCTAAGACATGTATTAAGTGCTAAAAAGGCATGTAGCCCATCAACTCTGCTGCCAGCACTATTATAAGGAGACATTTCAAGTGTTAAACCATCACAGCTAACTTTCTGCAGAAAACTAAAACCCATGAAGCTAGGATTTCAGACTTAAGCACCAAAGCTTAAGTAACATGGCAGCTTAGGTTGAACACTGAGCCTTCATTCCGTCTTTGCTACTGTATTTTCTTGTAGGCAACATACCTTTCCCCCTAAAAAAACAGCTGCTGGAAACTGGAGTGTGCATTATATGCAAGTAAGAGCAGGTTTTACACTTTATTGTGGGAAGCCAAAAGTAAAATCTGCAGGGAGCAGAATAGTGAGCAGGCTCCTTAGCTACTGCTATTCAGTTATTTACTACAGGGAAAAGGTCTTTCCTCGCCCCTTCATTTTGCTTTTAAAAAACAAGAAGCATATTATATTCCAGAATGTGTTGTATGCAAGAAAGTATGGTATGTGAAGTCTTCAGGTACATGATACAGTTAACTTGTTTCAGACAGAATCCGTTCCTAATATTTTAAATATGTGTTTAGATTAGTTGATAATCGTATAATTAACTTCTTGTACAAACATCTGACACAGTCCTTAAAAATTAGGTTGGATGTTCAGCTCTTCTTACTGCTTGTCTTGTGGGTAATGTCATGGAGCTGGAAGGGACCTCACATGTCGTCTACTCCAGCCCTCTGTACAGATGCAGGATCTGCGGTTCTTAAACCAACTAGATAGATGCTAATCCAACCTCTTGGAAGTCTCCAACGAATGAGATTCCACAACTTTCCCAGGCAGCTTGTTTGTTGTCTTGCTGTTAATGTAGTTGGGATGTGTTTTCCTGAGATTTGTTGTAAATCTGTTCTGCTGCACTTTTAGCCTATTGCTAAGTGCCCTGCTCTCTACAACAGGAAAGAACAGTTTCTTTTGTCTTCTTTGTGGTAGTTCTTGTAAAACAATAGCTTAGCATTAGTGTGATTTTTTTTTTTTTCTTAAATTACTGTTTTTTGTAGAGAAGGGTCAAAACTGAAAGCTGTCACTTCTTTAGAGGGCACCAATCAAGGTGACTACTTCCTAGCATTATCACTAGTAAATTGTGTACTTAAAGTTTAAGTGAAGCATAGTGGCTGTAGGCAACCGAGTTTCTGTCTTTTAAAATAGCTGTATGGTCCATTAATTAGAAAAGTCTTAAGGCAGCAAAAGTGTCTCATATTGAAGTATTGGGACTACTCAAGTTTGTCATTTATAGTCTTCTCTAGGAAACTGAAAATCATATCATGGATGCAATTAAAACATAAAATTGAAGTTAACTACTCTCAGGTTTGTCTTCTCTACCACAGAGACATGACATCCACCTAAAACTGACTGCATAGTCATGCTATCCTCTATATCTAATATTAAAGTTTTGAAAGTACTGGAAATTCTTTGGTGCTTTTCCTGAAATGTGTTATGCTTAAAATATGCAATGTTTTAAAAATTTCTTAATGTACTAGATATATGTTTTAAAGGTGATTTTGCTGCTTGCTGTCGCATTATACAAATGCCATTCCTTTTCCAGTGCACCAACCAAATCAGTCTCCTGTTCTTGAATCCCTCCAGTGGCTTTATGCCCTCTTATCACAGAATGAATCTCCACTTCTTCCATGCCTTGCTACATAATTACTTTCTCAGTGCTGTGTCTGAGCACTCTTCTGCTATGCTATAGACATACCAATGTACCCTAAAATTGTATTATGTATGTGTAGTAATACTGTCTCCTCTTTGATCCTTCTTTAGCTGGCTTGTGGACGGTGTTCACATTGGGTGGTGTGGGAAGTAAACCAACACCACAACAGGAACAGTCCTCACCTCTAGCAAATCAAAGCCTTCTGCTGCTGCTTGTGCTAGCTAATTTGACTGATGCACCAGATTCACCAAATCCATACAAGCAAGCTATTATGTCCTTCAAGAACACACAAGGTTGGTTGGTACCTTTTCTTAATTTTTAGAATGAAGTGAAATAAATGTGCTATTGTTTTGTCCTGACTATTTAAAGTGTTGCCCCTTCCAGCATAGCTGTAATAGAATCCCTCTCCTTGAGGTCCATAGGAGAAATTCTTGAACTTGATTTTCTCAGACCAAAACTCCTGACAGGCAGAGAGGATTTAGATGTAGAATGGCACTGCACCATTCACTTGTTAGGGAGTTTCATAGCTTGCTTTCTTGCAGCATATCCAGGATTTCTGCAGAGCTCTCTCTAACTTCATAAAGCAATGCGAAATGGGAAGGCATCAGAGACAGAAGGATCCTATTGATGGTAGGAACTCCATAGGTGTTAGAAGCCATGGATGGCTTACACCATTCTAAGCTGATTAATTTTACAAGTTTAGTAAACATTAGGGGTGTATGAAGCGGGCCCTATTTGATTCGGATTTGGATTCAGCCCGAATCAGGGATAGTGATTAGATTAATTGATTTGGATCGCTGTCCCTGCTTTGTTTCAGCTAAATCTGAATCTGAAGATTCAATGCTGATTCAGAGAATCGGTGATTTGGACGTAGACAGCTTTAAAAGTATTTTCTACATACCTCGAGGTAGCAGTGCAGCTCCTGAATGCTGCGAGACTGGGGTGCATGGAGGTCTCACAGAAGTGTTGGGGGGGGCTTCCACATGCTCGGTGGCAAACCCAGAAGTGGACTGGAAATATTTCCGGTCCACTTCCAGGTCCACTGGGGAGCATGCTTG